TTAGTTTGGTTAATTGGTAGTCTTGGTTGAGTGGATCAACTTTACAGCGAAAATTTAAGAAAAAATCTTGGTAAAATCGTCCAAATGGATGTAACCGGCGCGGGAGTAATTATGAGTAACCTGGGCAACGCTGAGTTCCCAAGCTAGTATTATATATAATAATTGTTTACTTAGTTACTACAGTATAGACTTGTCTGTGGCTTGTCCAATCCAGGGGCGGATACAGGATTTAAGTGAGGGGGGGGGGGGCAAGATTTTTTAGGAACAAATAAATTCATAATTAGGAAAAAAAATCGCGGCGCAGGCGAAATTTTTTTGACTTAAAAGACTCAAAAAGTGTCAAAATTATTTTATTACATCTTCCATCATGTTATAAGCATCTAATATGTCGAGATCTCGTTTTGCAAAAGTTTTAGTTTAAAGTATCCTAAAATTTTGTGTTAACAGTGAATTTAGACAATTCCTTAGTCTTTGTCATTGTCAGGTTACTTTTTCAATTTATTTCCTTATAATTTTGTATTTTCCAGGGGGGGGCAAGAGGACTACTGCCCCCCCCCTGTGTACGCCACTGGGGGGGAATGTCCCCCCCTTGTATCCGCCCCTGATACAATCCGCGATATGCTGTTAAACCTTTAACTCTTATAGCTTGTGAATTTTAGTCAGCTTTTCTTGTTAAATTTAACTCAAATTCATAATTGCTGAAACCTTATTTATTTTCATGTAAATCATAGGCGGTTTCAAGGGGGGGGTGGCAGTCCATTACCCCCCCCTGAGTGAAATTAGGGGGGGGTGTACCCCCCCCTGGATTTTTACAAATCTGCCTTTGTTAATATTTACTTAAATAATTATCTACATACACATTATTCAATAAATAAATGAGTGTACCTAATTTTTAGTTATTCATACCTAGTTTGCCTCCTCTGTTGGTTCATGAATAATAAACCTCAAAATGGCTGAACCGATCAGGCCAAAATTTGTTGTATGCAACTCACATGACCCCAGGAATAACAATTTTGCTTGATAAATGATATGTACACATTTATTATTTTTGAAAATGCACCAAAATCAACATTAAAATCTGCGAAATTTTTTGGTAATGCAGAATACGATAGCAATCGGCAAATTTAGAAGCAGTTCAATGAACAAACACATCATTTCAGAAAATGATAAGTGTGGATTTAAAAAGGCTGACTAAGGAAGAGGTAAAAAAATGTGTTTAGCTGGATAAGTATGATGAAGATGGATTTAGCTGTGTATCTGTGTTTAGCTGGATAAGTATATTGAGGATGGATTTATCTGTGTAACTGTGCTTAGCTGGATAACTATAATGAGGATGGATTTATCTGTGTATCTGTGTTTAGCTGGATAAGTAAAATGAGGATGGATTTATCTGTGTATCTGTGTTTAGCTGGATAATATGATGAGGATGGATTTATCTGTTTATCTGTATTAAGTTGGATAAGTATGATGAGAATGAATTTATCTGTGCATCTGTGTTTAGCCGGATAGGTATAATGAGTATGGTTTTATCTGTGTATCTGTGTTTAGCTGGATAATTATAATTAGGATGGATTTATCTGTGTATCTGTGTTTAGCTGGATAAGTATGATGAGGATTGATTTATCTGTGTATCTGTGTTTAGCTGGATAAGTATAATGAGGATGGATTTATCTGTGTATCTGTGTTTAGCTGGATAAGTATAATGAGTATGGATTTATCTGTGTATCTGTTTTTAGCTGGATATATTGAGGATGGATTTATCTTTGTATCTGTGTTTAGCTGGATAAGTATAATGATGATGGATTTATCTGTGTATCTGTGTTTAGCTGGATAAGTATATTGATGATGGATTTATCTGTGTATCTGTATTAAGTTGGATAAGTATAATGAGGATGGATTTATCTGTGTATCTGTGTTTAGCTGGATAAGTATAATGATGATGGATTTATCTGTGTATCTGTATTAAGTTGGATAAGTATAATGAGGATGGATTTATCTGTGTATCTTTGTTTAGCTGGATAGGTATAATGAGGACACAAGCCGTATAAGTCTATACCAATTATCTAGGAACAACCTTCGCTCCTATGTTTCAATGATAACTTAAGCTATATTGCAAGCTTTCTATGCTCCAAATGCCACACAAGGGCACAAGCATCCAATCACATAGGACTAAATCTTAGGCTCTAAATGTCACACAAGGCAAGGACACAAGTGCAATATGCTCTAAATGCCATACAAGGACATAAGTCGTATAGGTCTATACCAATTATTCAGGCACAACCTTCCCTCGTTTGTTTCAACGAGAACAGAAATATACTTCTGCTAATGTAATTAAAAGCCGAGTCTCAATCAACTGATCTATATTTCTTAGTTCATGGTGAAATTGGGTTATAAACAGAGCAATTACAAGTTAGGTGCTGAATATCTATAGCGCATTTAAATCACATTATGGGTATGACAAAGCTATATCTATCTATGAACATGCAATGGGTTAATCTTGTAACAGGATTTGTGCCGGGGTCCATATAATTCCTTTTTCAATCCCATTTGGATTGACAAATTTGAAAGAAATGGGGGCAAATTCTTTATAAATGATAATTTTAAAAAAAAATTGGGGGCATTTTTTTTAAATTGGGGGCAAATGCGTCAGTGGAATTTGAAAATGTTTTTTTTAATTGGGGG